TATCACCAATTAACTAACAAAAAACCAGAAGTGGAGTTGTGGCTCAGATGGTAGAGCAACAGCCTTGAACAAAAAAGCTACACAAGAGTGTAAGGCTGCACATACACACACACACACAATATGACAGAAAAGTCTGATTAAGGAGTAGCACATCCCTGTTACAAGGCATTTCTGAGTGCCTACCAGATGCCAGGCACTGTGCCAGCACTAAAGCATGCCCCTAGGGAGGTCATCACAGGCATGCTTGTTTGTGTTAATGAACCTGGACACAAGGATCCTGGGCTTCAGGACTCACTGGGGGCCTGAGGGAGGGAGGTGGGGACAGGATTTGGTCCTGTGTGTGTGTGTGTGTGTGTGTGCGCGCGCACGCGCGCGCACATGTGCACGAGCAGGTGTCTGTGATGATCTTGCTCCCAAGTATCCTGATTACAAAAGTCACCTTCAGGAGACCCCAGGTCACACAGCAAATTCACTCTCACTGAGCTGGGGTCTGGGTGAAGGGCATCGTGGTGGGCACAAGGTACCCCAGAGCAGGGTAGATGATCACCATGGGCTAATTTCAACTAGCTCTAGTTACGAGGCATGAGGAATGTGTTCAGGTGTCTTATGGAAAAATGGAGTTTGTTCCCTAGAAGCTCATCACTCTGAAGGTAATGGGGTGAAATAACAGCCCAGGAAAGTTCTAAGGTGGGGTGGTGGGCAGGGTGGCGGGGCTTCTGGTTGACTAGCCTAGGGGCACACATGGAAACCCTGCACTTCTGCATGGCTTGTACATTTCTGTCAATACATCTATCTGATGAATGTCATCAGGTTTGGATCCTCTGCTTAATTTCATCTTGTAAAAGGACAAAAATTACAAGTGCCATTACATCATTCTAAGTCGAATTGGCTTTATTTTGTATGGATACTAGGGGGTACGAACTCAAGTCCTCACACTCACTGGGCTGGCTTGCTTAGTTGGTGCTCTACTACTTCAGCCATGCCTCCAGGTTAGCATTTTTGCTAGTTATTTTGGAGATGGAGTCTCCTAGACATTTTTGCCTGTGCTGGCTTCAAAGTTCAGTCTGAGAAATTAGGATTACAGGTGTAAGCCACCTGTACCTGGCCTAATAGGCTATTATTCTCAACTCATGAGTCCTACTAAGAGCAACAATGAATAAATGTGGTAACAAAACACTAGGAAAAAAAATCTAATTGATTAACATCAGGATACTTCAGGTTACATTTTACAAGTATTAAAATAGAGAGGACTTCCTTATTATAATGACTAAAGTAGATTAGTATCTCCTGTTTGTTTTTTTTCTTGGCAGTTTGAATTCTCAAGGCCTGACACTTGAGCCATGCTTCCAGCCCTACAATCTTGTTTGACAGAAAGTCTGGTCTGGTTTGGGAATCTATCTGCTTTCTGGTTAATCATGTGTTATTTACACGAATGACTCCATTTAGTTTGATCTGGTCTATTGACAATGACTTGTAATTTTTTTTTCTAACAGTCTTCACAAGTAGGATTATCTCTAGTTTACAGATGGGAAAACCGAGGCCCAGAATATGTTCTCAAGATTACAAAAGAAGTGCCAAAAGCACAGACTGCAAGGTTTCATGCTCAAATCCTGTGCCATCTTTCCACCTTCTTTTTAGTCATTGTCGAAAGTGGGGAGGAGGATGCATGCTCCTGGCTCATTTCTGTAATCCTAGCTACTCAGTAAGCTGAAATTTGAGGATCTCAGTTCAAAGCCAGCCCAGGAAGGAAAGTCCATGAGACTCTAATCTCCAATTAATCATCAAAACTCAAAAGTAGAGCTGTGGCTCAATTGGTAGGATGCTAGCCGAGAGAGAGAGACAGAGAGAGAGAGAGAGAGAGAGAGAGAGAGAGAGAGAGAGAGAAGGAGGGGAGAAAGGTGGGGCAGGTATGGTGGAGTCCACCTGTAATCCAAGCACTTTGGAAGCGAAGGCAAGAGGATCATGAATTACCAGGAAGAAGGGGAGCATAGGGAAAACAGTGTGTCAAGAAAGAAAAAAAAAAAAAAAAAGTAGGAGCTGTCTATGGAAAAGAAGTTTGGACTGAAACTCCAAACTGGACCAGATGAGTGGGGATTTGAATATGGAGCCAAGGGAGGGCTCAGAAGGCAGCTAGAGTGCTGGGAATATGGCTCAGTGGTAGAGTGCTTGCCTAGCATGCATGAAGCCCTGGGTTCAATTCCTCAATACCACATACATAGAAAAAGCCAGAAGTGACACTGTGGCTCAAGTGGTAAGCTTGAGCCCTACCAAATGGTGCTGTGGCTCAAGTATTAGAGTGCTAGCCTTGAGCAAAAGAAGCTCAGGGACAGTACTCAGGCCCTTGAGTTCAAGCCCCAGGAGGTATATCCTCTCTTTGGTCTTTCCAGGAAAGCCTGAGTGTATGACACACACATATGCACAAGTGAATGGACATGGGAGTGACTGGCAAGCAGCCAGAGCTTGAGTTTGGAGGATATTTGCCCAGAGAAAATTGCTAGAATTACAGCTTTAGTGCTTTGAATCAGAGGGAAGAGGACCTACCTTGAATTACTGGGCATCTAGGAGAGACTGTCTTTCTGGTTCATATCACAGGGAAGAATCTGCAGGACAGAATTCATCAGAGGCAGTTATGCACCAGGTGGTAGTATACAGCAGTGTCAAGAACTCTGAGTTCAAGGCCAGTCAAGACCATATCAATGAGACTCTGTTTCAACAAAACCAATTTTTAAAAAGTTGCCACCCCCCCCAAAAAAAACCTGTAGGTTTGTTTTGTTTTTGCCAGTCCTGGGGCTTGAACTTGGGGCTTGAGCATTGTCCCTGCACTACTTGAGCCACAAGACCACTTTCAAATTTTTCTGTTTATGTGGTATTAAGGAATCGAACCCAGGGCTTCATGCATGCTAGGCAAGCACTCTACCACTAAGCCACATTCCCAGCCCCTGTAGGCTCTTAAGGAGGGCTTTGCTGGAGTAAAGCAGTCATGGTAAGCAGATTCTTCGAGACCTGGAAAAATCTCTGAAGTTTAAATGTTAAAAAATGTCAAAAAACACTTCAAAGATGTAAATGGCAACTTTTATTGGTAAATCCTAACATTGGGGGAATCTCCCTTAAGCAAAAACATTATTAATGCGAGCAAAGGTTTGTTATTGGTATTGTGGAAAAAATAGAAATAACATAAATGCCCTACAATAGGAGATTAATTGGTAAAGCTTTATTTTTGCCCATATGATAGAAAGCATATGGCTATTACAAATAGTATTGTAGATGTAATAATGATGCCCATTGTATGTGTATGTAAGTTTTCAGGTGATTATCTGTGGCTGAATATAGAGTTTTATTTTTATTAGATTAAATTTTGTTTTTATTCTTCCTGTTGCATTCAACAAAGTCATGGATGTCAATTTTGTTAGGCTGAAGGAGACGCCAAAGTCTTCTAATTTCATTCTTTATTTTCCAGTGGCTGTATTTTCTTAGGGACAGGACAAATATCCATCTGCTGCACAAAGAGGTTATCATGACTCAAGGAGTTACTTGTTTTCTGTTCTTCTCACTCAGGTGTTAGTTCTTGTAGCAGGTTTTCACTTGGACACTTAAGGCACCCCAAATCCTAGCTCCCCATCCCAGTTTCAGTGGCTTCCTTTTGTTGGACACTCTGCTAGGCTCCTTCCTCAAAAGCCCTCCTAGCTCCTGACCTATTCCTGACTGGGAGGCAGCTCTGACCCATTCCTGTGTTTGCACCAACCAGAGCCCTCAAATTCTGGCATGTCTGAATTGGATGAACCTATTCATTTCATCTGTGGAAGGGAGGAGGTACAGTGATTGACAAGTGGAATGCTACATCAGTGTAGCTATGCATAGCCTGCATCTTAGGGACTGGGTGCTGCCATGGAGGGTGAGCTGGGGTGATAGTGTGGGGTGATTCCTGAAGGAACATTTCATTTCTGAGACAGCAGCTTTGGGGAGGTAAAGGAAGGAGACTGCTGGGCTCAGGTTCTGGATGTAACATGTACACCCAGACTAGACTCCAGGAGACACAAATGGGGCAAGTTGCTGCCCTTACCTAGAGGTCTGAGACTGTCCGACCTTTAGCTAGACACATTGCCTTGTCCAGCTCTATTCCTCCATGTCGCCTAGAACCTCCAGGCTCAACCCCTGGGGACTCAAAAGATGACACCAATACTGCCACTGACGAGTTGTGCAAAGCCACAGTGAGCTTGTGTTGGGGCTCTGAACTGGTGGGGGAGAAGGCACACAATGTATTACATAAATTTTCTCTCCCCACCATTGCAAACCAGCAATCTAGGGCTATTGTCATTTTGTAGATGAGGAAACCCAAATCGAGAGTCCTTTATAGGTTGTGCCAGCAGCTGTCCGGTTGAGATTTCCTCCCATCCAGTAGTTCCACGCAGCCAGCGCCCCAGGCAGGTGGGGCTTTCTGCCTCTTAACTTTCATGGAGCAAGAGAGTGACCTGAACCAGGGGGCAGTGTGAGTATTCCAACTCGCCCTCCCCTGTTTTTGACACCCCATTAGCAAGCATGGGGAGCCAGGCTAGTTTTCTTTGGTGGGGGAAGTTCGGCCTCAGAGCCTTCCTCTGAAGAGGGAGGCAGTGTCCAGGTGACCCCTCCCCATCACCTACAATCCCCGCAGCTGGCTGACCCGAGAGGAGGATGAGAAGATGCAGAAGGTTAGCGACTGCGCGCTGAGGGTTGCGTGGGGGCGATCGGCTTTCCGCTGGGGCCGGCAGGCTTTCCGCTTGGGGTGGCGTGGGAGCTCGCGGGGCGGGCCCACGGGAGCCCCGGAGCGGCGGCGGCGGCGGCGCGGGCCCGGAGGGGGCGGGGAGAACCGTGGCCCCGTACTTCCCCTTCGCCGCTTAGCTCTACAACAGCCTGATTTCCCCGAAATGATGAGGCGGCGCGGGCCAATGGGCGCGCGCGCGGCGCGGAGGGGGCGGGCCCGGGGCGGCGCGGCCCGGGGAATCCCGCTAAGTGTTTAGATTTCCCTGAGGCGCCGCCGCCGAGCCAGAGCGCGCCGGTCTTTCGTCGAGGCCGGACGCGCGGCTCAGCGGGCCGAGCCCAAGTCGTCGTCGTCGTCCCTTACCGAAGAAGCCGAGGCCGGCCGTGCCTCGCCCGGCACCCCGAGGCCCCAGGACATCCTCTGCGCTCTCTCTCTCGGTGTGTCGCGCACCCGCACACAAATCGTCGCCCGTCGGAAACCGAAGGCCACCGGGTCCAGACGTTTCCCCCTCCCCAGCCCCGGCTGCTGCAGAGGTGAGTCCGCCTTCGCGGCGTGGTGGGACCCGCGGCCGCCCACAAAAGGCGCGCGGGGCACCAGGAAGTGGGGGCGGCGGGGTGGCGTCGCGGGCGCGCGGCGTTGCCTGGGCCCCCGCGCGGGCGGGCGGGCGCCGGCGGGGCGGTGAGCGGCGGCGGCGGCGGCGGCCGGGAGAGGGCGGGCCGCCGTGAGGACCGCCCCCCACCCCCACCCCGGGCCCATCGGGCGGGCGCCCCGAGGCTTCCTCCCGTCTGCGAGCGCCGGGCCGCCCCCCCACCCCGGGAGGGAGGGGGGAGGACGGCCTCTAGCGGTCCGGTAGGTTTGCCAGGCGCGTTTCTCACGCCGTGCGGGGCACTGCGGGGGGGGGGGGCATGCCCGCCCGCGGGCGCCCAGTCATTCGTGGTGGCCGCTTTTTGGCGGTCTGAGCTTGGCTCCCCGGTCCCAGGACTCAGGCTCCCCCCCCCCCCCCCCTGCCGTGACCGGGACTGGCTCACTGCCCTGAGTGGCTGGGACCCGATCGTGACCTCCTGGCGCTGCAGGAGGAGGCGCCACAGGTGTTCTTGGGGCTAAGTCCCTGGAAGGCGGGGAAGTAAGGCGCTCAGCCCTTTGGGCTCTAGTCATCACCGGGACGTAGAAAGGACTGGGGGTGGGGGCAGGGGAGGCCCGCAGAAAGTAGGAAGTGATCAGGATGCTGGGTGACCGCCCCTTAGGGCAGGTGCATAACTTAACTAGCTGGTGGTGGCAGCTCAAGTCGGGGCAATTTCTTCTTGGCTTCGAGCAAAAGGAACGCTACCCTTCCCTCTCGGAAGATTTGAGTTTTGAGAGAAAAGTTTTAAGATACTAGTGCTTTCTCTCTTTTCTTGGACAAAACCAAGCGGAAAAACAAAAAAACAAAGCCCGAAGCCATTACTTCCATGCCTCTCTCCTTCCTAGACCAGCTGGGAGATGCTGAAAACTGCAGAGGGTCTTGTTTTGCCCCCTGTTCTCTTCCCCTCACCCCCAATGCAGGATTCCTTCCCTAAGATTGCAGGACCTGGGGAGGGTAACCACCTGGGTGAGAGGGCAGGGGAATGTAATTAAGTGACATGGGGTGGGGCAGGGCAATGCCTGGGATTGTTCAACAGACTCCCAACAGGAGGATTCTGTCTTCTCTTTACAGCCAACATGCCCATCACTCGGATGCGCATGAGGCCCTGGCTAGAGATGCAGATTAATTCCAACCAAATCCCAGGGCTGATCTGGATTAATAAAGTGAGTGGAACTCTGGATTAAAAACAACAACAACAATATTTTTGGCCACTATTTTATCCCATGTTCTTTAGGGGACCAAAGCTTCATCTGCAACTCAAAAAGGAAAATGATAAGAGGACAGGGAGATGTATTTTCCAGCAGGTTCCATGTGTTGGGCCCAGGCCATGCTTGCCTGGCTTCTCAGGATATAACCAGACACTCATCCTAAAGGCACTTAGGGAAGTGGTGCTGTGGCTCAAGTGGTAGAGCGCTCGCCTTGAGCTGAAGAGCTGAAGGACAGCGCCCAGGCCCAGAGTTCAAGCCCCATGACCAACAACAACAAAACCTAAAGACACTTAGTTTCCATCAGCTTCTGCAGAGCTTGGGTTCTTGTCTTTTCTGAGTGAGGGAGACTCCTGCTATCCACACAGCATCTCCAGGGCTCTGATTGGACACATAGAAGACAGGTACAAACTGCTGGGCAGGAAGATGGCTGGTTCAGCAGAGGACCCAGGAATTAATCTTGCACCTGTTACTCTGGCCTCTAAAGTCTATAGCTGATGCACTTGGAGCAACATAGACCCAGTAGATTTAGCAACAATGTTCATCATCACCATTATCATAGTAACCATTACAATGTGGCTGCTAAGTATGTTACTTAAATTTGTGGCACCTCAAGCTAGGCACCAGTGGCTCACACCTACTATCCTAGCTACTCAGGAGGCTCTACTACTCTGGGGATTGCATTTCAAAGCCAGCCCAGGCAGGAAAGCCTGTGAGACTCTCATCTCCAATATACTACTCAGAAAAGGCCAGAAGTGGCGCTGTGGCTCCTGTGGTTCAAGCGGTAGAGAGCTAGCCTTGAACAGAAGCAGCTCAGGGTCAGCACCCAGGCCCTGAGTTCAAACCCAGGGCAGAAAAAAAAAAAAAGAAGAAAGAAAGAAAGAGGAAGGAAGGAAGAAAGGGGCTGGGAAGGTGGTTCAGTGGTAGAGCGCTTGCCTTGCATGCATGAGGCCCTGGGTTCGATTCCTCAGCACCACATAAGCAAAAAGAAAAAAAGCTGGAAGTGGTGTGGCTCAAGTGGTAGAGCACTAGCCTTGAGCTGAAGAGCTGAGGGACAGCGCCCAGGCCCAGAGTTCAGGCCCCACGACCAGACCCAAAAAAGAAAGAAAGAAATTGTGTCACTTTCTCTTCACAGTAGTGCTGTGAGATAGGTCCTAGAGAAGGAATGAATCTGTTACTACTTGAGGTAGATACCAAGATCACACAAAAAGTACTAATACCAAAATTTGAACTTGAACAGTGTGAATCAAAAGCCCACAATAGTTATTAGCCACCAGTAATAATGACAGGAAGACTTTAACCATACCTCAAAAAAAAAAAAAGTTTTTTGAGGTATGTTTTCTCATTTCAGAGGAAAGAAAACTTTTGAGAGACACAAGTACAGTGCTAAGGTCACACAGTAGTCAGTATGAAGATCTATTTCAGGACTTCCACAGGGGTGTATAAGGTCCCCCTGTGTAGGAGCCAGTAGTCCCAGGTGTCCTGAGCAGACTGTTCTAATGGAAGAAATTCTTCTGTTTTGTCCTGGCCAGAGAAACATCCCAGGATGTGTAGACAGGGCTTTGGAGTATACTCTTATGTGTCATATCTGTAAGAAGAGTGTCTTAAAAAAAAAAAAAAAGAGTGTCTGTTGAGCTGACTGTGCCACAGTTTATTAGAACCCAGACTCTCCTAAGAGATCCAGAATGGCCTGCTTAGGGCAATTTCAGGATGGATAGATCAACCCAAACTGGATGTCAGGCTGAAAAAAAGGGAAGTCAGCCTTTTCCCTAACCTGGGGGCCTGGGTAATCTCAGCCTGTGGTCTCTGAACTGACAGCCTGTGTGTGTGTGTTGTTCAGGAGGAGAAAATGTTCCAGATCCCATGGAAACACGCTGCCAAGCATGGCTGGGACATCAACAAGGATGCCTGTCTGTTCAGGAGCTGGGCCATTCACACAGGTGTGTCCCTGGTGCCCTGGCTCCGAGGCTGGGGAAGAGGCAAGAAGAGACACTAGTGTTAATGTAGAGATTCTTGGTGGTCCCTGAGCTTCCTGGATAAGTACAAGGTGCAGAATTCCTAGGGAAGGGACCAGGAGTTTCTAGAGGAAATAATCCATCATTTCAGCAAATTCTCAAAGGTATTTGTAAAGCCAAAATCTTAGAAAGCATGCCTTCAGGGAATTTATTTCTAGATCAAAGTTCATCCTAGACAAAACAATTTCTGAAACAGAACATTGAAAGGCTCACATCTTCCTTTCTTTAGGTACTGCTCAAGGACCTTGGCCCAAGGCCCATCTGGTTGGTGGCCTCCCTTTCTTCCTTGAGGGATGGAGCTCTTGGCCAAACTCAGAACAGTCTGCTTACGTATTAGTAACTGTTCTTTGCTGCCTACTCTGTGCCCACTCCTACTCTGGAAATATCAGATAAATCCTGATTGCTGCCCTCTGGCTGCTAATAGCACAAGCAGGAAGACTGGGCAGGGTCTAAGGCATAGCACAGGGGCCTTCTAATGCACTTGGCTAGGGCCTTCACTGAATCCTGCTGGATGTTTGAGCCACACCTGGACATCTGAGAAGCTCTAGATTCTAGAGCCTGGAGACTACTGCTAGGAATATGTGGTGGTTCCACCACTGTAAGTGTCTGGGGTACCTTCTTCCTGGCCCAAGGGGCAGTTGATGATCCACTTAATTCTCCTGCTCTGTAGGCCGATACAAAGCAGGGGAAAAGGAGCCTGATCCCAAGACATGGAAGGCAAACTTTCGCTGTGCCATGAACTCCCTGCCAGACATCGAGGAGGTAAAGGACCAGAGCAGGAACAAAGGTAGCTCAGCTGTGCGAGTCTACCGGATGCTTCCACCTCTGACCAAGGATCAGAGAAAAGGTTAGGCTTTGGGCTAGGTTCTCAGGAAGCACTTGGGAGGGAATGAGGGAAGATGGTCAGTTTGGTTTGTACGAGACTGATAGTCTGCCTGCCCCACAGAGAGAAAGTCCAAGTCCAGCCGAGACACCAAAAGCAAGATCAAGCGGAAGGTGAGTGGGGCCCTGTGCACTTGGGCCTTTGGTTGAAGTGGGTCCAGGGGAGCAGTGGAAAAGTGCTACTACAGACATAAAGCTCTTCTCTCTCTCTCTCTGCAGTCATGCGGGGATTCCAGCCCTGATAACTTCTCTGATGGACTCAGCAGCTCCACTCTGCCTGATGACCACAGCAGCTACACAGCTCTGGGCTACATAGGCCAGGACCTAGAGATGGAGCAGGCCCTTACTCCAGAAGAGGCTGCTGGTCTGGCAGGGGAACCCACAGGTTGGTAGGATGGCTCTTTATCTTTGGTCCAGGAGGTATCATGTAGCACACAGAATGGTCTGTTAGGAGCAGGTTGAAGGTGCTGGGTTTCTTTTTCTGCCAGTCCTAGGGCTTGAACTCAGGGCCTGAGCGCCGTCTCTGAGCTTCTTTTGCTAAAGGCTAGCACTCTATCAATTGAGCCATAGCGCCACTTGTAGCTTTTTCTGTGTATGTGGTACTGAGGAATTGAACTCAGAGCTTCACACATGCCAGGCAAGCACTCTACCACTAAGCCACATACCCAGCCCCCTGGGTGTCTTGTAAACATACCATCTTGACCTGTGATCTCTTCTCCACCTGCCCCTCTACAGCACTGTCACCATGTGCCGTCACTAGCACTCTCCCTGACTGGCACATGCCAATGGAAATTGTGCCAGACAGCACCAGTGAACTGTACAACTTCCAAGTGTCTCCTATGCCCTCCACCTCTGAAGGTTTGTACTTGAACTGCCTGTGTGATTGGGTCCTGAGAAGGGATTCCTGAGGGAGAAAAGATGCTCAGAGCTCCACCTGCCTTTTTTTTTTTTTTTTTTGCCTGTCATGGGGCCTGAATTCTGGGCCTGGGCACTGTCACTCAGCTCTTCAGCTAACGCTTTACCACTTGAGCCACAGTGCCACCTCCGGCTTTTTCTGCTTATGTGGTGTTGAGGAATTGAACCCAGGGCCTCATGCACGCAAGGCAAGCGCTCTACCACTGAGCCACCTTCCCAGCCCTCCACCTGCTATTGAGCTGACTGGGCTGAACATTGCTTATCCTTGTCCCCAAGGGAAGAGGGAAGCCTGTGGACACCAGGCAGGCAGTTCAGACCAGGCTACAGGCTGGGGTGGGTTAGGGACAAGAAGAAAGAAGCTTGTGCTCCTGGCTCCTCTGCAGCCCAAAGTCTGAGAGTGGAGAAGGAAGTGGAGGGGTGGGAAGAGGCGTGGCTCCATAGTTTGGGAGGCTGAGTCGGCAGGACAGTGTCCCTGTTCTGGAATCTCCATGGCAGGCAGATGTTCCTGGGAGAGAGGGAGCATGCACCCGAGTGTGCTGAGGGACTGGAGGGGCTGGAACTGCATGCAGGGTGAATACAGGGTGAATGTGGCTGACCGCCAGTCAATCTCTGCTCTTGTCCATGTCCAGCTACAACAGATGAGGATGAAGAAGGGAAATTACCTGAGGACCTCATGAAGGTAAGGTCCCTTCCTTCCTGGTAGATAGGCTTTTGAAGTGGTCAGTTCTCAGGGGGGAAAGAACTAGCAGAAACTTCCAAATCAGTGAGTGGGCAGCTGTTGGCACTTCCAGAACAGTCCCAAAGGTGCAGGTGCCACAATCCTTTTTTGGCTGGTTGAAGACCCTGGGTAGTGAGTGAGGGCAGGTGGGAAGCCTGGTCGCTAGAAGACCATCCTGTACAAGCCTCAGCCCCAGACAACTGAGTCAGCCGTGATCTGTGATGGGTCCTTGGCCTGTGTCCTGTTCCCAACATGCCCAGCCCTGCTAGTTTGGGAAATGCACATCAGGTTTCAATAATCAGCCTTTGGGATCTGCAGTATGGCTCTAATTTTTTTTTTTTAAGCAGAAATTGTCCTCCAGCTTATCTTTTCAGCTAGTTTTTCCTTCTTTCCTCCCTTCCATCTGTCGGTCCTTTATTTAACTCAGGGCCTTTCATTTTCACTCACAGCTGGTGTCTGGGATTTTGCTGGTTAATTGTTGATAAGTCTCAGACTTTCCTTTCCTTCCCTGGGCTGGCTTTGAATCTTTTTTTTTTTTTGGTCGGTCGTGGGGCTTGAACTCTGGGCTTGGGCGCTGTCCCTACGCTCTTCAGTTCAATGCAAGTGCTCTACCACTTGAGCCACAGCACCACTTCTGGTTTTCTAGTGGTTTATTGGAGATAAGAGTCTCAAGGACTTTCCTGTCCCCGCTGGTGTTGAACCTTGATCCTCAGACCTCAGCCTCCTGAGTAGCTAGTATGATAGGTTAACTGCTCTGCTGCAGTTAAAAGTGAATATAAAACAGTTTTTGAGGTAGGTTTATCCTGGCTTTGCCCCATCAGCACAGAAAACTTAGTCAAGCTTTGAATGTCTAGCTTTTCTAGACTTGTTATGCAACCTTTGCTTTGAGCAGCACTGCCTGTTGCCATGTTGTTACCCACTTGAGGGAAGTGGAAGAAATTCTGTGCTAGAAGGTGGGGTAGAAGGAGTGGGGAAATGACTCCAGAATTTGTGGGTTTGTGCCTCTCAGTCCGCAGGGCTTGTCTTGACCGCACTTCACATCCCAGCTGTTGGAGAATGTGGCAATGTGCGGCAGGTGTGTGATCCTGGCTGAGAAGCCTTAACTCCTTGAGGGCAGGGCAACACTAGAAGGCAGCTGATGGCTACTTGCTCCTCTGTCCCCAGCTTTTTGAACAGTCAGAGTGGCAGCCAACGAACGTGGATGGCAAGGGGTACCTGCTCAATGAACCTGGAACCCTGTCCACTTCTGTGTATGGAGACTTCAGCTTCAAGGAGGAGCCAGAAGTTGACAGCCCTGGAGGTGAGAAGTCCCTGGATCCTGACTGCTTCTTGGAGAAGGGAGAAACGTGTGGTGGGGAAGGCTTGAGGGACAGAGTTGTTAGGATAGACAGATGAAGCATCATTCTTAGGCTGAGAGGAAAGGGGTGTAGACAGCTTGTGAATTAGCTGTAGCTCCACTCCTGAGGTTTGCCTAAAGATGAGTGGCTCCTTGCTGTTATAGGTGGACAGCAGAAACTATCAGTGGCTTTCAAGGACTGCAGGGCGGGGTGGGAGGGCATACCTTACATTCCCACCCTCTTCCTCATGCAACCTTCTTCACGTCTTCTAGGGGACATTGGGCTGAGCCTACACCGAGGCTTCACAGATTTGAAGAACTTGGACACCATCTGGCTGGACAATCTTCTGACCCCAGTCAGGCTGCCCTCCATCCAGGCCATTCCTTGTGCACCATAGCTGGGCCCTCCCCTCTTGCTCCACTGAGTGAGCAGGGCCCAGGCATCATGGCAGATGTGTTGCAGAGAAACTGGACTCCTGTGGGCCCCTTGGCATAACGAAGTGTGATTCCACTGCCAAGCAGGGTTGGGACCACCCTTCTTGGGTTAGTGGACGCTCAGGGCTTAGCAGGCCAGGGGTTTGGGCTTGTCCTGACTCTGCCTTCTGGGAAGATGGGGTTGGGATTCTGAGACTGGTTTATCAGTTGAGGACTTGGACAGGAATTGGCCTCTATTTTCTATCTCAGCCCAACTTCCTGGAAAAGGTTTTGCTGTCACTGAGCTGGCCCTGAGGGGAACAGACAGTGACCTCGGAAGAACGTAGCATCAGCCCCTGGGCTGACTCTGCACTAGGAGACAATTGCACTAAGTGAATCCTGTTCCCAAAGAATGCTTCCCTTCCCAGCTGAGCCCTGGGGTCTGTTCCAAAGCCAGTGAAATGTGAAGGAAAGTAGGGTTCTTTGGGGCAGTCCTCCCTCAGCCTTAGGGGAGCTCTGCCCTGCTCCTGCTCCTGCTCCTGAAGTGCTGAGGGGCTTGGGAAAAAACATGGCACTTTTTCTTGTGGACCTTGCCACAGTTTTGATCAGAGTGTACACTAACATGTCCCCCAAGCTCTTGGCCTTTGTGTTTATTTATACAGTGCCTTTCCCGGTGCTTACCTCCCCCTTAGGTCCCGCAGCCCTCAGCAGGCCCAGGGAGGAAGTGTGAGCACCTTGGTGTGACTTCGGAAATTGGAGACTCAAATCTAATTACTAAGTCATGTGTGACAACATATGGATATGTATGTAAATATGTACATTTGGCTTTTTATAAAAGTTGTTTACAAGAATTGTGGCTTTTTATTTAGAAATTATAGTTGCTGGGCTGGGATGGTGGTTTAGAGGTAGAGTGCTGCTTGCTTTGCATGCATGAGGCCCTGGGTTCAATTCCTCAGCACCACATAAGCAGAAAAAGCCAGAAGTGGAGTTGTAGCTCAAGTGGTAGAGCGCTAGCCTTGAGCTGAAGAGCTGAGGGACAGCGCCCAGGCCTTCAGAGTTCAGGCCCCACGACCGACTAAAAAAAAAAAAAATATATATATATATATATATATATATATCCCAGGCCCTCAGAGTTCAGGCCCCATGACAGACCAAAAAAAAAAAAAAATATCTATCTATCTCTATCTATCTATATACAGTTGCTTTTTTTTTGGCTATTACTGAGGCTTGAACTCAGGGCCTAGGCTTCTTTTGCCCAAGGCTAGCACTCTACCACTTGAGCCACAGTGCCACTTCTGGCCGTATCTGTTTATGTGGTACTGAGGAATGGAACCCAGGGCTTCATGTATGTTAGACAAGCACTCTACCACTAAGCCACATTCCCAGCCCTTGGCTTTCCTTTTTATGGAAACATTCTGATGGACCCATTGTACCCTGCTTGAGTCCGAGCTTCGGGTAAGCACTGATACATCTACTGCGAATCTTTTATGGGCATAGATGACAGTAGTAGGGGGGCAATCGTCACAGGGGCATACTCAGGTAAAGACAATCATGACTTTGTAGCCATAGCTGGGACTGTTACCAGTTTGTGTTCTTCTGAGGAATATACATAGACTATGTATGACTTGGTGAACATGTGTGTGCTCCTCCAGAAAGTGAATAACACATCACAATCAGACAACACACAACAACCCAAGAAAGACCTTGCTGGGGACTTGGTGTCATGCTGAGTGATGCGTGCTGTCTAAAGAGTGATGGAAATGTTCTCTTCATACTGTTCAGTATGGTAGGCATTGGTACAAGGCACTTGGCAGCTAAGCACCTGACCCATGCCTGGCCAATGACACCTTCAGGAACTGAACTTTATTTTATTTTATTTTTGGTGCTGATCCTGGGGCTTGAACTCAGGGTCTGGGTGCTGTCTCTAAACTTCTTTTACTCAAGGCTAGCACTCAACTACTGAAACCACTGGTCTACTTTCAGCTTTTTCTGAGTACTTGGTTGGAGGTAAGAGTCTCAAGTCTTTCCTGCCTGCCTGGCTTCAAACATGATCCTCAGATCTCAGTCTCCTGATTAGCTAGGATTACAGGCATGAGCCACCAGCACCTGGCCTCTATTCTTAATTTCAATCAAAATTTAAATAGGTACATGGCTACCATTTTGGAAATGGACATAGATGCTGCCTTGAGGGTAGATCTGAGGAGGGGCTTGAGTGGCTGGAGCACACTGGGACAGGCTTAAGGATATTTATCTTCCAGTTCTAGATTTGATTGTAATAGCCTATGATGTCTAGGTCCTGAACATTACCACTACATACTGTGAAATGGGTCCATACACAAATGCATTAGGAAAACTCTTGGCTGACTTCACATAAAGTAGGGCTAATGTACACAAACTCTATGAGAGGTTATCTGATCAGAGAGAATCAGCAAGCCACTAATACATGACAGTTCTCCCTAAGACCCAAGTCACAGGAACGTGTAAAGGCCACAGGTCTGGTTATGGGAATTTCCAGCTTTTCCCCAGTCTGTTGTTGGGCTATAACACCCAGCAGGAGGTATCACCAGCAGTGCCTAGGGAATGGGTAGTAATAGCATTGTCCAAGGATATGGAAGATCTATGGGCACAGTTCCCATATTCTTAGTCCCAGAAAACCCTGGGACTGTGACCCTCTCACTGGGCCCAGCACTCTGGAAGTAGTGTGGGCCCTTGGTGGGAAGAAAGAATACAGAGTGAGAAGATGAGAAAACGAACGTGGGCAAAGGCTACCGTGTCACTTCTAGCAAGTTCAGGAAATAAGTGTCCTGTGGTGTAAGTTGCAGGTAGGCTTCTCTGCTGGCTTGTCTGTATAGGGGTGTAGGTGGCCTAATCACAGGGCCTGTCTGTCAGAAGACCCACTTGGGTTGATAATAGCCTCACCAGGACAGCCTTTTCCAGCTCCTCCAGGGCCTACCCCTTACTAAGAAGAACTAGATTGGGTGCTTAACCTATTATGGCTTCTATCAGGTTTTTTAGTGGGTGGTGCTGGAGTGGGTTGGTGAGAGGAAAGAAGTGTAACCCAGAACAAACAGCCTGCTTCTGACTTCCCTATTCTGTCCTTCAAGTTGGTCCCTGATACAGTAAGCAGTAGGCGTGATAAAGCCCCAGGAAGCCCTGGATTCTCAAGTTCTACTAAGTTGAAAACCTGAATTATGCCCATCAGCTCCCAACCTTTAGGACTAAAGACAAGTCCTGATCTCTTCACAACCCTTGGAGTGTACAGAAAGGGAGTGCAAACTCTGCCCTCTCTCTTATCCTGTCCATCAAGAGGCAGCTAGGTCCTAGGGAGCACGGCTGGAGGAGCAGTGTGGAAAAAAGCTAGACCTTCCAGGACGGAGACCTGGTCTCATCACTTCCTACTATAAAGTTCCCACTTCCCACGATAAAGTTGTCTTCTGCTCACCCGAAGGTGGTGGCAGTTAGCACCTAACATCAACAAACAGGGTCTAGAATGGAGCAAAGTCATCTAATCAGAACCAAATGTAGGACTTAGGTCATTCAAAGGACTTGCCAACACTTCTTCCTCTTTTTTTTTTTTTGTCAGTTGTGGGGCTTGAAGTCCGGGCCTGGGCGCTGTCCCTCAGCTCTTCAGCTCAAGGCTAGCGCTCTACCACTTGAGCTACAGCGCCACTTCCGGTTTTCTGAGTGGTTTACTGGAGATAAGAGTCTCACAGTTTCCTTCCTGGGCTGACTTTGAACCGCGATCCTCAGATCTCAGTTTCCTAAGTAGCTAGGATTACAGGTGTGAGCTATGGACGCCCAACTTTGCCAATGCTTCTATGGTCATTTTTGAAGAGTTTTAGTCTAAACACTAATGGTGAAGCTCCTGGTTGAGGCAATCCAGATGAACTCTGTTGGGGTTTCAATGACATCAAGGTAATCAAGGACTATTTGCAACGGAGGTAGACTAGGCTTAGCCACACTAGCTACAACTCCCAGGTAGGGCTATGATTACTGGTATTCTGAGACATTTCTAGTCAGTTGTAGGTGTTTCCTTGTTTTATTCCCAAATTGGGCTGGCTTATATGTTCGTTCCACTCACCTGGCAGCAGGAAGAAAGCCAAAGAAAGGCTAATGTGCAAAGCAGCCCTTTTGGGATCTTTCTCATTGCAAAGTGTGCAGAGGTTGGGACCACCCTGATTCCAAGGATAGCAGCTTGCTCAGATCTCTCTGGAAGTCTCCAGTGGGGCAGGCTGAAAGAAAACTAAAATCTTGGGGACAAGCCCAGGACCAAGATGTAGGAGGAGTCTTTTTATTCTGGGGATGATATTTGCTTCTTGGTGGGACTGGATCACGTCTACACTGTCATTCTTTGTGGTCTTTAGTTGACTTTCATCCTGTTGGCAGATTTCAAAAAATCCATTCTTGTATGGAGAGGGTTACGTAGGAGGTGTGGCAGAGGGGAGGGTGTGGGTTTCCTCCAGGGAGCCCTGTTGGAACACCAGCTCTTTGCCCCTGCCAGATGTAATTCTGCTTCTTAACTTAGGCACCACTCACCTCTCCATACTTTGGATACATAAACTTGACTGAACTTTTGCACTAACCTTTTGCTCCTTCTGCCAGCTGTCACAAAGGCAAGAAGGCCTGGGTGGGAATGGGGAGCTGAGGTACAACTTTTTCCAGAGGTGAAAGTACTTAGCAGGGTGGAACTTGGCTTATCAGTCAAAGTCTAGGCCTAGCTGCTGGCTATGTGCTTTTCCTAACAATTAAGAAGCTCTAAAAAAAAAGAAAAAGACCCATTTCTGTGGCACTTTTGGGTTGGAGAATTGTGGAAGCAGCCCCACTCCCCTGGCTCAGTGGTAAGGCAGGTCTGTAGAGTTTGCAGAGTTAAATTTGGAGAGATAATGGGAGTCAATGGGCCTAGGACATGGGGACTGAGTGGGAGAAGAGGGGTAGGTATTCAGCCTGCCCTTCCTCGTCCATGGACACCTCCAGCTCAGTACTAGAACCCATCTCCACATCTGGCTGGCTAATGACAACATGGACCTCCAGTGACCACTTTGTGCCAGGTACTGTGCCAAGCCCCCATGTGCACTACCACACTAGCAGCACCTCACTCCCATCCCCTTGTCTGCAGCCAAGAAACCAGTGCTCAACAGGCCCATGGAGCTTGTCCAAGATGACTCAGCTCATCAGTATGGAGGCTGGATTACAGAGAACCCAGGAAACGGAGGCCCTGGGAGGATGTTCAGGAGAGCTGGCAATTGGGCAGAAAATGACTCCCCTGTGTCAAGGCATTTGGGAACCTGGATGAGAGGCAGCAAATGCTGCTGCACTGCTCCTGCCACCAGCTCCCTGCCCGTTCCTGACACTCCAAATAACACAGGCCCCAGGGCCCCAACTAGGTAGGGTTTGGCTTGGCCTCAAGAGAAGCAATGCTGCTCCTTTGCCAGGAAGGCCACCTGCACTTTCAAGAAGGTGGGGCTCTAGGGTCTGTGACACAGCCTTATAATTTGGCCTCAGAACAGAGGGTAGCTCAATCACACATCTGTCTGCTCCAGAGGACTCTAGTCTGCTAGACTTCAGCTGTAGGGATGGAAATGTGGGGGCTGATTGTCATGGTGTTTCAGGTGGTATGCTTTCCTGCTGAACCAGACCCACTGTTGCATTCTGGGGAACGCCTGGATTCCAAACGGCTAACTCTAAGAGCCAGGATCAGTCAGGGGTGTCCATGACTGGGGATAGACCTGCAACTTTGGGGAGTTTAATTCCTGGTTTCTTGATCTCTGAGCAACCGTAGCACCCTGTTAATCATTGCCCTAATCTCAGGCAGTCACAGGAGTCCTAACAGGCCTCCTTCACAGGAGGCGAG